GGGGGCCTCAGTAAACATTCAAAGAGGGCAGCAGTAAAAAAACAAAAAAAAAACACATACATACATATATATATATATATATATATATATTAGTGCTGTCAAACGATTAATCGCGATTAATCGCATCCAAAATAAGTTTATTTTGTATTTCAATATATTTGTCTGTACTGTGTATATTTATTATGTATAGCTATATAAATACATACACGTGCATGTATATATTTAAGAAAAAGATGTTATATTTATATATTAAATATATTTATATATAATATAAATTATATGAATATAATATATACATAAATATTTTCAAAACATCGCGAAATGGGTGCGCAGAGGTATGCTAATACATACGTTGACAGGCAGGTAGGAAAGCATATTAAAACGCTCGGACCGAACGTTTTGATTAGACGAACATTTCTTGATCCTACACCTTCCACAGAATATATAAATACAGACAAATACATTTAGACCACTTAACTTAATGATTGCTATCGGGATGTGAAGAGACTTTCAACCAGCGTAACAAAAAATGTTTCTGAAGACAATCACCTATTGCACCTTTAATTAGGAAGATGATTATATGTGTCCATTGGTTTCTGATGACAGGATATGGGCTTTTCCCGTCAGAGTTCTTGCTGTGGAGGCAGGCTACGAGGAAATACATCGTGCAAACTCAATAGCTCAATTTTAAAATCACCATTACTGGCTTCTTGGGAGAAAAGAAAGGAAAAGACCAATACCGATTTCTAAAATGAAATCAGATAAAGCACACAGTCATCTTTCTTCACATTCCTATATTACAGCTTAGTGTAGAAGCCTATTGCCTTATGAATATAAAACTACATGGTCACTCATTTGAAGTAAAAAAGGCCTTGTTAAGTGTTTTCACCCTGTTTCTAGTTGTCCATGTGCTCAACTGAATGCTTGACATTATTAGAGTAAAATCAACAACAAAAAGCATTCTGCTACTCATATTTATCTAACGCTCAGCAGCCATTGTAAACAACGCATCTAGTCAAGCAGACATTACCACACTCACAGAATACAAAATATATCATTACAAAGACTTTAAGAACCTCATATTAAAATATGCATTTGATTATTAGCAGTAAAACCCAGAACAAACAACTTTTGAATGCCAACCATCAGTATCAGACTTTGTGAGTATCAGACATGCGCACAGGCTTACAGAGCACAACATGCGAACACACACACAGACAGACAGACAGACAGACACACAGAGACAGACAGACACACACACACACACTCAGGTTTGTTTTTGTGAAAAGTGGGGACATCCCATAGGGAGGTATGAGGTGACAATTTCATTATTATTAACAGTCTGCTTGTTTGTAGTTGTGCAAAGTTCATGTAATGACAAGCTTAACAGCAGTGCATGTAAAGAAAACATTTGCAGCTCATTTTTACGCCCAGGCAAGTTCTGAATTAGCAAGCAGGCAGAAACCGAAATACGTAATCTACTAATAAAACTGTTCTAATGGCAAAAAGCAATCAATCAATTAAGTGTCACTTTCCAGAGGGTAGCCGATGGGATTTTTAAAAGCACAAATTCAATTTTGTAGTGAAAAGTATTGTCTAACAAAAATAACATTACATGAAAAAACTTTACTTTTTCATGTTCATTAAGTTAAAAACAATTTAAAATATTTGTGATGTCTTACATTTTAGACACAACCCTGTTATCACGATTTCTCCATTCCAAGAAGTGAGATGTTACTTTCAACTGACCAAACGTAATTTAGAAAACCAGTCAATTCACTTCATGTCCTCAGTTTTTACAAATAATTTAGTGTTGACTACTTTCATCAAACTTCAACTCTGTTAGTTAAGAATTTGTTTTATATTTTTATGAGAAATACTCATAAAAAAAAAAGAGAAAAGAAAATCGTTAACATGGTGGCAAAAATAAAATAATAAAATAAAATTAATTAAAAAAAATTTAAAAAATAATAATAATTTAATTCCATTTCCTTAATATTTACAAATAATTTAGTGTTGACTACATTTGTCAAAATCAATTTGCAACCCTGTTAGTTATAGTTTTATTTCCAGGATTTTATAAGAAATACTCAAAATATTGAAAACTACAATAAAAAAAAAAACTACAATGAAACTATATTCATTTTCTATGTCATGAATTGGCTAGCCAAATTTGCAAGCCTGTTCCAAATTATAATCTTTTAATTTCACTTCATTTAAAATGCTATTAATTAGCAAACAAACAACAATTATTAGCAATTAACTATTAGCAGGCAAACAAATGTTTTTTTTTTTTTAAATCATCACACAAATTAAAGCTTGTAAACATGTAGACCTGGATTAAAATCTGGTAACACACACAAAACAAAACAAAACAAAAACACAAAACAAAACTCTTTTCATTTCATTTAAAATGCTATTAATTAGCAAACAAACAACAATTATTAGCAATTAACTTTTAGCAGGCAAACAAATGTTTTTTTTTTTTTTTTTAAATCATCACACAAATTAAAGCTTGTAAACATGTAGACCTGGACTAAAATCTGGTAACACACACAAAACAAAACAAACAAACAAATAAATAAACGTTTACTAATTTTTTCAGGCCTTATTTTGCACACTATTTTTGTAAGGTGGCATGTGAATGTTAACACTTAACATATTGTAACCACAGAAAGACCTCAGTGAATGAATGAATGTTCTCTAAAAGTAAAAAGCAGTGGAATGCCATGAGCTTTTAGAGATTACAGAGAGGAAATGGGAACCGCTGGGCTGCTGTGACGACCTAAACAGTCAAATGTGCTTCTGATCCACTAGTTCACATCTTTGAAGACAGGAACGCCGTCAGTAAGAACATCACACTTCACACAGGCTCTCTAATGTGATCAGCTCTAGCCGGGGCCAGCAGGGGCCAGACTCCTCTCTCTCTCTCTCACACACACACACTCCACCGACACAAAACACACTCGACTACCTGCTGCTCTTGGCAAAACTTCCAAAGACAGAGAGAGTGTGAAATGAGGAATGAAAAGGAAGAATGTGAGAAGAGAGCAATAGGTAAGAGGGGAGTTGAGTGATTGTTCTCTTTGACATGAAATAAAGAGGGGATTTGATCACACAGGAGTCATGGAAACGGGTTTGGTGTCCAGATCATAGTCTAGGATCACGGCAGGATTCGATCGGTGTTTGAAGCGCTCGGTTCATGAATACAGTTGAGAAAAGCAAACAGGATTTCTGAGCTCTGGATTACAGTAATGAAGGTTAGATTTCACCCAGTTTTTCTTTCTGCTTATACAGCAAACGAGTGAAACCCTTACACCCAAAATCAGTAGCAAGCTAAAATATATTCAGTTTAAAAATGAAATAAAATACAGCTTGTGATTAGGATCGTTAAGATTTTCATGAGAACGAAAACATTCATTTTACTTTCATTAGTTAAATACGGTAACAATATTTTAATTTTACCAATACGGTAAAAATTTTATTTTAACAATAAAAATACGGTAATGTTTTTGAGAGCCCATTTTGACCCCAGGTTCAATTTTCTTTCTAATTCTACACTAATTAAGCAATTGAGATGTACAAGTGAATCTCACAAAAAACAGGCCACATTTACAACCCAAATCAGAAGCAAATAAAAATATATTTTGCATGAAAAAATTCCATGACAATTAAATTTTTCTTACTTTAATACAGCTTTAACTGTTGTTACCATAAAAATACTGCATTGAAAATAATAAAGCAGTGCTACAAATACTACAGTGATGTATAAATACAATTAATGTAATCATATATTAATATAATTAATAACTTCATACAGTAGGAAATGTGCTTAATTGCCATGAAATAATATCACATGCAAAAGATAATAAAACAGGTTTAATTTTCTTTAACCAAAACAATTCTGCCATTTTTCTTTTTGATTTTGGGGTGAAATAATGACCTGGATGTGTGCTTGACAGATTTCAGCGTTCCTGCTTCATTTTGATGAGCATTATTCAAACCCTGGACCTTATAATGGAACATAAATCATGTTATCACTTATATGTGATATGATTGTTAATCTAGGCATATTGTGCCATTATACCAAGTCAATAGTCAACATAAACAAACAATGGAAGCATTAAATATATCATTTAATAGTTCATGATTGAAAGAGTAGAGCTTTCAAACAGAACATCCAAAACCCCTGCAATGTGAATCAAGTGTTCCTCAGGACAACAAAGATATATTAAAGGCATCATTTACTTTCTTCATTCCTGGTCTTGCTGAGCAGGATTTATTAGTGCATGTTAGAAAACTAAAAAAGTCTTCTAAACTGAAACAACTGTCCTTTTCGGCTAAATTCACCAAGGCCACTTAAATTTCAAGCCTTCGCATTCATGTCTGGTCTGTTCTGCGAAGGAATGCATGCTTTTTTCTGATTCAATCAATTCCCAATGGATAAAAATAAGTCCTAGCCTACATTTTACACTTTTAAATGCGTCACACTCAACTTGAGAATGCAATTTCATAATGGTTTATGCAACATAACAATAGTAAATTAATGCAATAACAATAAATTATGCAATATAATAACAGCTGGCCAGGCAGTGCAAAGAATGCTTTTCAATACATAATGCAAACCAGATTTGCTTATTCATTAACTAGCGTTTTTGAATGCTAATCTCCATATGCAATTAGATTTTTGTATAAAAACAATTACACTTTAAAGCATGCCAAGCTACATTTATGTTGACTGTTAGCCTTGCCAATAAAACGACTAAAAGGGTACTCCTAAATGAAATTAAATATTCAAAGTGTTCATTTAAATAAGCTTTCGTATTCATAGTAAGAATTTTAAAAGGAAATCCATCTTCCAGAGTATCTTAATAGACAATGCATTGGTTCTCAGAAAGAACATAGCATCTTTAGAAATTCATATTCAATTTATATTTAAAATAGAAGACTATATATATATATACACACGTTATATAGTGTTATATTTCCTAAACAGCAGTTATAGTTTGGAGATCAAAGTCTAACCAAACGATAAAAGAGCACCATAACCCTCAAGAGACACCAAAGTCATGCCTTTGGAAGACAGGTTTTGAGAATAGCGTTTCGTACATCACCACAAGACGTTGAAGCCATGGTGTATTTGCTGTCTCTACCCTACGACAAAGAGGTCTAGCGTTTGATGTTTGATGTTGAGCTCCGAAGAGCTGGACTTCAAGTTGACATTCAGTGGAGTCCCGCCGGAGCTGGAGTGACGGGTCTCCGATGGGCGGCGAGCCCGTTGGCCTGAGTGTGACCCCGCTGGGTCATCGCAGGTTTAGAGACAGAGTCACAGCCAGGATCACACTGCTCAAGATGCAGAAAGGAAGCCAGGTCTTCAGGAAGCCTACGCAACTGTGGAAAGAGAGAGAGAAAAAAACGTCCGTGTGAGAGAAAGACACAGTTTCGGTGAAGATGAAAACATAAAAGAAACTAGATTCTGAAATGTGCTTGTCTGTGCTATGTTGTGTGTGAAATGGTTTGTAGGTTTGCCAAGGCACGGTCATGCTGTTTTTAAGGTGCTGTAGCTCCAAGTAAAAAAATAGGGATGCAACGATACCATTTTTTCAGAACCGATCCGATCCAGAAAATTCTGATTATCGGCCGATACCGATCCAATCCGATACCAGCGCAGTTTTTTTACATCAATGTAGAATTTCTATACTTCTGTGTGTTGACCTGATCGTCACACAGTTGAATATTAAATCTGTGCAATATTTGATTGAGCCTTTTCTTTTAACCGTTTTAAATCTCAGTTATTGTGCGCTCTTGGAGAGAGTTTCATCATTTTTGACTGTTGAAACCAAACGTGACACAGTTTGAACGGTGAATAGAGGATGACTGACAGCCGCAGCGGAGAGAAGAGTTTACGTGAACTTGACTTAAAGGGGTCATACGATGTTGCTAAAAAGAACATTATTTGGTGTAATGAAATGTGTTTATGCGGTTTAAGGTTCAAAAAACACATTATTTTCCACATACTGTACATTACTGTACTTCTGAAACGCGTCGATTTTTACAAAGCTCATCTGTCTGAAAAGCGAGGTGTGCTGTGATTGGCCAGCTATCCAGTGCGTTATGATTGGCCGAATACCTTTACAGATCTTCTTTATGCACCAAGAGCTTGTAACACTCCAAAGAGAAAGGAAAAATTTTTAATCGCATCATATGACCCCTTTAAATATTCATCCGTACCTCAAATTAAACTGTGGAACGGCTTCAGAACACTTGAAATATAGTGCACAAAAACTTTGCTTTCGTGGGGCTTAACCATAACACAGAATAGTATATGCACAATATCGGATTTGGATCCGTCTCGTCTGAAAAATGCCAGAAAATGCCAGTATGCATCCCTAGTAAAAAAAAAAGCCCACCCCAAAATATCTATAATATTCTGGTCTCAAGATATGCTTCGGGACCCTCCTTCAATGTTAGTCAATGTGATTTTTATATTTGGGCCAATTTTATTGTAAGCAAGTCCAATTGATTGGGAAAAATGGTGCAGGATGAGTTACTCGCCAACATTTAGGCTAATATTTACTGTTAGAGGTTTATTAAAATCACTAAACCAATGTAGGAGCAACAGTAAAACCCTTGTACAAAAATAAGTACACTATCATACTTAAAAAGAGTGCTTATTATAGATATAATATACTTATGCTTATATGTTTTCTGACATTTAATTGTATGTTAACTGCAATTAAATGAAAATGCATTACAGTTTTAAATTTATCAAATGCAATCAGCTGAGCTTTAGAGTGATTTCTTTGACTCACTTAATAAATAGTTAAAGTGCACTGCTGAATGTACTGACAAGCATTTATAGTAAACTAAAATATACTTTAATGTAATTTCTATTGAAACTCGTATGTCATGTATTTAAATATATTTGTAATTACACATTTGTAGTAAAGTTGCAATTTAGTACATTTAAATTAAGAACTTTAAATGAATGACGCACTAGAGGTAAAATTATAATCAAGTACTTGACATGTGCTTTAGTATGTTAGTCAACACATCAAAATAAGTGTACTTTAAAGCATGACAAAAAGTCGATGAAAAACAATGATTTAAATTAAAAATTGAATTTGACATTATTACAAAGTTCACCTTTCAAGTCTACTTAAGTGCGTGTCACGAAAGAGAACTCTCTTTAAATATACTTAAGTGGGATTTATTTCATTAATACTACATTTTCTGCAAGTGCCGTTAAAAAGTTCACATTCAGTGCAGTCTTTTCACAAAGGTGGTGCTTACCTAAGCAAAGACCATTAATCACAGACAGAAAGCAAATAAAAGATGAAAAAGACAAATTATTATTGTGATATCACATTACTTTTCCCTCAACAGCACACAGACTGTGTTTGTTTTCTTTGCAACATCAGATTAGAATATGCTGTGGACCAGATTTCATGCTGATAGTCAAAATGCTTGCTCTGTGAGACGTCCAATTACTCTCCAGTCCATACTGATGCAACCACAAGCTGGAGGACAAAAGAGCTGCATCATCACTTCATACCTGCAGTTCCTTTTTTTTAGTGACTGACAGCAGAGTTCTCACAATAAACAGTGATGGATGCACTCTGAACACTTTGGGTCAGGAGAAACACACACATAATGCAACACTTTCAATTACACCTGAGAGACGCCATGCTGATAGTCAAAATGCTTGCTCTGTGTGACGTCCAATTACTCTCCAGTCCATACTGATGCAACCACAACAATCTGCTTCCACAAGCTGGAGGACAAAAGAGCTGCATCATCACTTCATACCTGCAGTTCCTTTTTTTTAGTGACTGACAGCAGAGTTCTCACAATAAACAGTGATGGATGCACTCTGAACACTTTGGGTCAGGAGAAACACACACATAATGCAACACTTTCAATTACACCTGAGAGACGCCCTGACAGCCTATCCTTGTGTGAGTCCCTCTCAGTCTCCTGGGGCCAATGCACATGCATTGTGCTCAGACAGCAACCAGAAGTCTGAAAAAAAGTTGTGTCTGGAGCAATCCCTTGTTAGACTTCAGGGTATCATGTAGGAGCATTTTTAGCTGACACCCAAAACACAGCACTGGTTCCAATTTCTCAGTCCTATAATTATGCAATCCTGCAGCAGAGAGGATTTAAAACCAAATTTAGCATATAAAACGGCTGCAAACAAACAAACAAAGTCTCAAAATCTCTTCTACTAATGGTTATTACCTTTCTTAAGTACAGTTTATTCATAATTTTTAAAAGAATAGTATTGCCCAAAATTGTGCTTACTTCAATCTAGAATAAAATGCCATCTGATAGACCAAGACACTAAAGTCTTGCATATCTGTTTACACGGTCAAGCAGATCCAGAGGTCTGATTATTATAGCATTACAAGAATCCCTGTAATCCACAGAATGAAAATGTTCATAATATCGGTTCGCATTTGTTGCCTTTTCAACTCAAGGTTCCCATGAGATGCACCTCATCACCTCTTTTAAAACATATACTACATCTAAACTTAGAGCTGACAGGATAAAATACACTGTCTGTAGATTCCGAGATCAGTCTCTTTCGAGAAGCATTGCCAGAAATCATTTACTTCAGCTGTGCTTCACTTGACAGAGTGGCATGAATGGATTTCAAAAGTACACGGTTAAAATGAATATCTTCACTCAGATTCAAATAAACCATTTAAAAAAAGATTTAGATTTATTTGAGTGGCTGCATATTTTTGGAATATACACGATAATAATATTAACTGGAATAATTCTAAAAAAAAAACAATCAGGCCTCATATCGATCTAAATGTGGCCATTCAGCACAAAGTTATGAAGTTATATCCAGTCTATGCGGGATGTCCTGCACTGTTTAAATTGCATCAAATGCAAAACTAATTCGGACGGATTACAAAGAAACAAAGCTAATTCGGACGAATGTGTACGATCTCATTAGGTTTTCATACAAATCTGCTAAAACCCCAGTGTCAAAATATCTTTTTATGTTATGTTATGTTTAGGGATGGACCTTAATGCTTACTTTTTTTCTATCATACAAATCACCTCGTAAAATATTTCTGTTTTCCTGTGAGATCGGGTTGACAGAGGCCGTTATGATCAGTGATATTTATCCTCTATTGTGGATGGATCATGGCAGTAAACTAGTTGCAACAATAAACAGATTCCCACGTTCTATTTCTGTCATACTCTACACGCTACTTCTGACAACAGGACGAATGGATTTGGAGAGTTCGCTTTGACACGTCCAGTGCAGAAGGCCTTTAGCTGTTGCAACACGGTCTGATGTGATGCGACAACGGTCCGTTGCAGATGCAGTGCAAGTTTATTAGTGATATTAAGCGTACATAAATCTGTTCAAATAATATTTGATGCTGTCAGTATGATCCTGAATAAACTGTTCTTGAGGAAGATAAATAGTGCTCAACAAAAGTGCATTTATTTGATAACAATTACAGTAAAAACAGTGGTAACACTTTAGTATAGGGACCAATTCTCAATATTAATTAGTTGTTTATTAGCATGCATATTATTAACATATTGTCTGTTTATTAATATTTTATAAAGGACATATTCTGTATGACCATATTCTACATCCCTAATACTACCCATTACCTAAACTTAACTACTAACTTACTATTATGAATCGGCAAATTAGGAGTTTAATGAGGCAAAAGTCATATTTAAAGGGATAGTTCACCCAAAAATGAAAATTCTGTCATTAATTACTCCAAACTTTACGTTCCAAACCTGTAAGACCTTTGTTCATCTTCGGAACACAAATTAAGATATTTTTGATGAATTCCGAGAGCTCTCTGACCCTCCCATAGACAGCAAGGACCCTTACACGATCAAGGCACAGAAACGTAGCAAGGAGATCGGTAAAATAGTCCATGTGACATCAGGGGTTCAACCGTAATTTTACAAAGCTACGAGAATATTTTTTGCACGCAAAGAAAACAGAAATAACGACTTTATTGAACAATTCGTCTTCACCTTAGCGCCATTTTGAAGAGTGTCACATACGTAAAAAACATATGCTGTTCTGTGTCAGCTGCGTCACGCGGCTACGTTGTTTTCATTCAAATCAAAACGTAAATAAACATAGAAAACGTATCCGTGTGGTGCGGCTGACACAGAATAGCATACGCTGTTTGCGTTCAGTGGATACTCTTCAAAATGGCGCTTAGGTGACGCGGAGGAGACGAATTGTTGAATAAAGTCGTTATTTTTGTTTTCTTTGCGCACAAAAAGTATTCTCGTAGCTTCATAAAATTACGGTTGAACCCCTGATGTCACATGGATTATTTTAACAAAGTCCTTGCTACGTTTCTGTGCCTTGATCGTGTTACTTACATTGCTGTCTATGGGAGGGTCAGAGAGCTCTCGGATTTCATCAAAAATATCTTAATTTGTGTTTCTAAGATGAAAACGAAGGTCTTTGGGTTTGGAACGACACGAGGGTGAGTAATTAATGACAGAATTTAAATTTTTGGGTGAACTATCCCTTTAATGGTTTGTTAATAGTGAGAATTGGACCTTAAAATAAAGTGTGACCAAAACAGTAATATTGTGGAGTTTCAATTTAAAACTGCTGTTTTCTATCTGAATATATTGTAAAATATAATTTATTGCTGTGATCAAAGCTGAATTTTCAGCATCATTACTCCAGTCTTCAGTGTCACATGATCTTCAGAAATCATTCTGATATGCTGATCAAGAAACTTCTATCATTATCAATGTTGAAAACAGTTGTGCTGCTTCATATTTTTGTGGTAACCGTGAACATTTTTCAGGTCTTTCTATCGAATAGAAAGTTCAAAATAACAGCATATATTTGAAATAGTAACAGTACTGTCACTTTTGATCAATGTAATGCATTCCTGCTGAATAAAAGTTTAGTTTATTTAAAAAAAAAAAAAAATCTTACTAACACCAAACTTTTGAATGGTAATGCACTTATCATAAGTATACGTGAGTGCAGTTAAATTACTTTGGATTATGTGCAGCTTGGCAAACTACAGTGTAAATGCTAAAGTGTCCTGATGCGAACAACAACAAGTTGAGTTATCATCATTCTGAACCCTGCCTTTGACCCCGGGTAGAGAAATGTTTCACTATTGCAATTTAAAAGCGGGGTTAGCACCACTTTTCCCTGCAGGTTTTGAAAGCCTGTTCCTGTGTCAAAGTGTACAGTGTGAAACAATGATTTTTAGCAACAGACATCCAGTAACGTGCCTCATATTCACCTGCTTTGGACAGTCACAGAAGGAAAAACTCGATAGTACAGTCTGCAATATATTATATGTCGACCTGCATTTATAAGCCTTTATGTAAATAGGTTGCACGCTGCATTCATCCAATCAATGACACTGACACTGCAAATATGCAAGTAAGGATTTTAGGAATGCAAGTTTAGGATTGTACGGTGTGAATACACAGGATTAGTTGTTAAGCACAGGCAACTTTATGAACAGTGTGAAAGTTAAGCAAGACAACCCAGAGTTTAGTATGATCCAGAGTTAACTATTGCAAGTGTGAAAAGCCCTCTAGCGAACAAATTATACCAAAAAAACAAATTATTTTCAAACTTAGAAATCTGATCAAAGCACAAACAAATGCAGAAGTACATCTGAAGGCAGCGGTGTGAATGTGCACAGCTCTTTTAGGGGCCGTTTACACGACAACGTTTTCAGCCAAAAACGGGAAACTTTTTATGCGTTTTGACTGTTCGTTTACACGACAACGGCGTTTTGGGGACTGAAAACACATATTTAAAAAAACGGGTTTCACAGTGCAAGTTTTTGAAAACGCCACCGTTGTCGTTTCCGTGTAAACACCCCAAACGTGAATCTTTGAAAACGGTGATGTAATGCGTGTGCGTAGTACGTGTTAGGTATGTAGACGTGTGCAGCACGTGGACTATACCATTGTCGTGTAAACGTAGCCCTAGTCTCACCTGACGTGTTTGCCATGAATGAGTGAGAGCAGGCAGAGGTTCACCATATTCCACCAGGTGCTGTTGTCATAGCGCATCAGGTTCAGTGCCATGGCAACATGCGAGTGACAGTTGTCACAACAAAGGTTGTGCTGGAGGGAAAATGGAGATAATTTGTCAGAAGATATAAGGCAGTTTATCTGTATGGATGCTAAAAGCAGCAACTGCATATTTTTGCTCATTTTGGGCCTCTGAATAAAATGGAGGAGTTTTTCCCCTCTCGAGTGTGAGCTCCATATTCTCACTATGTCATATTATATGAGCCATAAAAGCCTGATATATCAAATATAATACAAAACATAAAACACATATGCAAACTTTATTTATATTTTGTATTTATTAAGTCTATAATAATTAGATTTTTTCTGATTATTATTTCACAAGTCGAGCTTTAAACATCTGTAATTTTTTGACGATTGCATACTTTCTTGTATACCAGCTATAGAAAGCTATAGAGACAGCAGGAAGTCATTTATGCAAGCTCTGTTTTGATATTGCTGTTCAACGCAACATCACAGCATTGACTCACTTTGTCGGTCTTCCGAAAGCCATGTTATCCTCCTGCAAGAGCAGAGAAACAGACAGTCAACTCTGTATGTGTTCAATGTAACAGTTAACAACAGCAAAGCCCAAAGCATAGGCAATTCATTCATAACATTTCCCTATTTCCTGAAAGACACCATTATGAATTCACACGTCTCTCTGTGAAAGCCAGTAATCCTGGGAGGTCTATATGAGCTGCAGCCCTCCGTTAGCTGTCACTCATCTCAAGTGTGTGCATTGACCTCAGCCATCTTTGCTCACGGTGGCTCAGTTCTGCTGCCAGGTCATGTGACTAATGACTGTAGCGCTGCAGCTGACAACATGATGACGGCACCACAGGAACACACACAAGCGCCTCCGATTCAGTCCTTTAAACAGCACTACAAAATCAAACAACATCTACTATAGTACATATGATACACAAATACTGCTTGCAAAATATTCATAGGACATATTTTACATGCAGATACCCTAATTTTTCAATATTTTATACAATATTTTGCACTGACAGGTTTTTTTTCCCACTTGTTTACTCTTAAAATTTGTTAAAAACGAGATCAATACATTTTTAATGCCATGGGCAGTAAGATAAAATACAATTTAAGATGCATTATAGGAAAATAAGTCTTAATATCTCACGTAGTGTTGCTTCTCAAGAATATGTATATTCTATTAAAGGGTTACTCCACCCCAAAATGAAAACTTTGTCATTAATCACTTACCCTCATGTCGTTCCAAACCCGTAAAAGATTCGTTCGTCTTCGGAATTTTGTACGCATCACCGTAGCACCATTTTGGAGAATAACGACTGAACGCAAGCAGCGTACGCTCTTCTGTGTCAGCCGAGACACAAGGATACGTTTTCTATGTGTATTTACGCTTTGATTTGAACGAAAACAGCGCTATTGCTGGAAAACAAACTATTTAAAGGGATAGTTCACCCAATAATGAAAATTCTGTCACTCATCATGTCGGTCCAAACCTGTGCGAGTTTCTTTCTTCTGCAGAACTCAAGAATGTTGGGAACCAAACAGTTGCCAACATTTTGCTGAACTATTGAACAGCTTACTTAAAATCTATTTTCTAAATATTATAGATCTTATTGTGCATGATTGATGCATGTATATGCTTTTTCAATTTTTAATAATGCTCTCTTGAGATATTTTGAAGAATGCTGGTAACCAAACAATTTTGGGGAAAACCCCCCCCCAAAAAACACTACTTTTAGGTTTCACAGAAGACAGAGAGTCATACAGGTTTGGATTTGGAACGACATAGAATTGAGTCAATTATGACTTGATCTGAATTTTTGGGTGAACTATAATATGATTTTTTAAACATGGATCAGTAAGAAATCACCCTTGCAACCACAAAGTAATGTGGTCAAAACACATAACTAACATATTTTGAAAAACACATAACATTTTTTTTGCATGTGCAAGTGTCATAACGTTCTGAAATGTAATAATAAAGCATTTTTATCATCAAGCAATTTCCAAAACCCTTAAACTGTGAACTGACCTCAACCCACATCGCTCTGCTCATTCCACATGCGAGACGTGCTTCAGTCCCTGTCAGCCACAAGCGGAGTTAAGTGCAGCAGTTGAGTGTGTGCTGGCCCGTATCACTGCAGGTCAAATAATCCCATCCTCTCACGTTACCAGCCCTGCTCTACCCAACACATTTCACTTTTGCTCCTGTCTGACAGAGATGTGCTTAAAGGATAATGTCCGAACCTGAAGAGAACTGCTGTGGAGCTTTGGTACCAAGATAACTTTGCTTTTGTTTGAACAGCTTGTCTGAATCTGTACAGGATTCTTATGAACAAGCGGTTGGATCCTCCATTTAATACCAGATAGAGTTGCCCTGACTGTGAACTCTAGGATAAGACCATGTATTTTTAACAAGAAGATCTCTGAGAAAACTGCAATTAGTCGTGCAGAGAGCTGACGGAGCTGGAGGTGTAGCTTTCACCGCATGTCCTCCTCTGCTCTGCACCTTTTTGCACAGGTATAGATTTTTCTTCTGGAAATAGCAGGATGTGCTCTTACAGGGTCACTGAAGAAGCTGGTGGCGAACGCTGAACTTTCCAGCGATTTCTAGTGAAAATGATCCACGGAATTTCAGACAAAATCATAGAGACCTTTATCTAGAGGAACGTTCTTAACCCGAAACCAGATACACTTTATGGGGCCTTTATATGTCAACAAAAAGTTGCTTGACATTGTTGAGGTCAGACAGGAGGAAAGTCCAGCCCAGTCTACACGGGTCATTCATAACACAGCTCAGGCGTCTCACAGTAACAAGCCTCCGTGGGCTTCTAACAAGCTCATTGTTGCCAGACTGAAAGAGATCCAAACCATCCGATGATAGATTTAAACCTGCACCGTTTGGAAATCTTCCAAATGTTACTTAATTGATCTGGCATTCATTTTCTCTACTAAGAAAAGGTGCTGCAAAGGATGTTCAGTGATGTTTAATACAGGTGCTTCTTACATTTGCAAGCAGACCTTCTGAGTGATCTCAATGGCATACTTGAAAATAACACAAATTATATTAAATTTTACAATTGTCTTGACAACCTTGTATGTGTGAGAATCAATCAATCAATCAGTTTTGAGGATGTGATGCATACTGTATGTTGTTGTTTCTTAAGCTTGTGGATCTTATATAAATAGTTTTGTTATCTCAGTGCCACAAGTTCTGAGATATACAAACAAAGTTTGTGCTTCAATGAGAAACGATCTTTGAATAGCAATGCCAGCGTGAACTGCTGTTTGCAATGCATTTTACTACTGCAAAAATCACATACTTCTGATTGACATAGGACATTTACTGGATAAAGTGGGAGTTCACAGAATGGTTGCCGTGATTTTGCCAAGACAGACATGTTCCTGGATCAACATCTTTTGTTGATCCTGGATCAACATTACTGTCCAAAAATACAGACTTAACCCAATCCCTACCCCTAAACCTACCCATAATTAAAGTAAATAAGGCCAATTTTCATCTCATATTAACTTGTTAGTATTTCAATGAGTTTTAGTGTTTCAAGAAGCTTGAACAAAAATTAAAGGAAAACTTTGTAGCAGTCTGGTCTTTGTGAAGTCAGACAAACAGACCTAGATAATGTTACTATAGCTAGACATTGTCATGTATACATGTTAACTGGATGACACTGGCATTGTATGCTTGCTGCATGTCAACTCTATTTTTCAGAGTGTGTATTTAAATATCCAGTCATGCATTGTCTCATGTATTCTTGGACAGGCAGATGAGGACTCTAGCTTGAATATGCCACAAACCGCTTTTATCTCAATTATAATAGTGCATGTAAATACACTTACTGTAAGCCTAAGACATTTCCTGAAAAGTTATCTCTCAATTCTGATTGGTTGATTGGAGTGATGTTCCAGGATCAACAAGGATGTCGATCCAGGAACATGTTGTACATGGTGAAATCACGCTCACCTTCACAGAATGAAGCTAGATTGTATTTGAGTTGCTAAAACTGTGAATAAATAGTTACAGTATTTGGCAGTTAGTTAAAATCATAAAATAACCAAGAAAGCCTAAGTGATGCCAGTGAAAAGTGAAAGTCATTTCAGAGGAGTTACTGCATTATTATTAGGTTTTTAAACCATTTTTTGTAATAAAGTACTTCTTAAGTATCTGTTTTTGCAAATGAACTACTAGACATTGTCATGTATACATGTTAACTGGATGACACTGGCATTGTATGCTTGCTGCATGTCAACTCTATTTTTCAGAGTGTGTATTTAAATATCCAGTCATGCATTGTCTCATGTATTCTTGGACAGGCAGATGAGGACTCTAGCTTGAATATGCCACAAACCGCTTTTATCTCAATTATAATAGTGCATGTAAATACACTTACTGAGACAAAGTATGGACCTGCAAAATCGCGGATCACTCCAGTGGAGGTGCAAATACCCATGTGGCCGATGAAAGGAAAGAGCCATCTGAAAGAATACAACAAACAAAAGGAATCAACAAAACCAACAAAAGCACACTGTTTTAAGATTTTTGATTCAGTTAAAAGCTTATATTAATTTTCTCTGTAAATATGTACATCTTCTGAAAATTTGCTTTATAGTTCTTTATAACTATTTATTTCCATGAGAGCACTAACTGAATGTGTTTTATATACAAAATACAGTAACTACTTTATATATTCGTTATCACTTAATCCAATTTGTTTCAGTCTCATTTATTTTAACTATTTGATTATTGCCTGTTCCACAGTCAGCCATATTTGAACTGTTCTTACTTTTTTAATTAATAAATGTAATTTGTTTTCCACAATGAACAGATTTATGCTGATTCTAAGCAATTTAAATGAATGCATTTTGAAAATATGACAATTTAGAAATCAAACAGATGCAAATATTGCCATTATTTTATTTTTTTGAGTGCACTTACCATTTTCATTTCATTAATGTATGACTGACAAATATGCATCACATTAAGATTAAGTTTAATCCAAATGGATAGAAATGTTATATGCAATTAAAATACATCAATTTTAAATTTAGGCCTAATTTTTTTTTTTTTGTATTGTTATCTGAAAAGAAAATAGTTGGTTATCCAAGAAAAACAGCAGTCAACAGACAATGCAGTGGTACAATTTTTGTTTATTTAAGTTTACTTTTCATCATTTGCTATGTTAGTTACATTAAATTATATTTAAATAAATAAATACCCGTTTCATTTATGTATGACTGACGTATATGCATCAGATTAGGTTTATTAGTTTGTTCATGTTAAAACTGCATAATCCAAATAGATGTAAATTGTATGTGCAATTCTTGCATGAGGGTTTACTTTATGATAACGGACCAACAGACACAACAATATCCCTTCACTTAATACATTTGCATGGCTAGAGCCAAAAAAGGCACGAGGAAATAGCTAAAAACAGCTATTATTTGAAATTGTTCACAAGAGTGGAAATACACATAAACTTGTGTGTTTTGGGAGGACAGCTGAAAGCACAAGGCTTGATGCTGGAGAATGCCCTTTTCAATATCATACACCTGGCCAAAATCCAGCTTCCCCTGCGGATTCAGATTCATGTTATTTTGGCTTTGGGATTCTAACAAGCAGGGCAACAGAACCGGCAATCCAAAGGACAACCAGATAAGGAAGCAGATTAGACACTAGACCAAAATTCCTGTCGAAGTGATTAAAAAAGTATTATCAACAGAGCTCTCAGGGGGGCGATATGAATAACGGTATGAATATCCTGGATAAAACAGCCCCGGTGGAGTTTGTGAAGTGGAGTAGGGCATACGCCGGCACCCCAGATACGCTCCTGTCCATGTGCATATTTATCACCGAGTGTCCTACAGAGCAAGCCGCCGACCCAAATACAGGAGAAGAAGAAAACATGGGGCGAGGAACTCTCGCACCGAGATAATCTGCAGTGGAGTACACCAGGGGACTGGTCTAAGACCAGCTGTAATTCATCTCAGCAAATGATTATCGGAAGGAGTCTGGATTCTGATCCCAAACCAGAACATAATGGGTGTTGTTAATGAACTCAAGCTCCATCCCAGGACAAATGCATCAACGATTCAACAAAGGTGTCGTGTTTGCAACTAATGGTCATAAATTATAATGTATGTTATAGAATTACTGATATGCATTACAAAATGGTGTCCAATCACAAAGATTTTACTTTACAAAAAAAGTATTAAAATGTACTACAATTATCAAAGTATTACCATGGTATTCTACCCAAGTGTATACAGTGCATATGGTAGTCATTTAGCACTATACATCTTATGACAATCCATTCCACACTACTTTTATGTAAAGAGACGAGAAAACATTGTAATCACTTTAACCACGGCTATAATAACAACAATAACGACACAGAGGAATGCTACTGTTAAAATCACTCTCAGTTAACAATAGTTATTGTAATAGTTATCTTATCACTCTTGGTGTGAATGGGCCTAAACAGATTTCATTCTGAATGTCTCAAATAGCTTTTTACAATCATTCATGTTTACTGGATCAAGATTAAGTATAGGGAAGGATAATGTTTACATGCACAAAGAGCCGTTTTTAGCCAATGAAATGGCTAAATGAAATAATGAAGGTTAGACAGGTTTTGTTTTCCATGACAATAACCCTGGTACATTCAAATATTTTGGTAGGCTATATATGAAAACTGTGAATACTTAATTGTATATCCACCCTTGTTTGACCCGTTTTCTCACACCATATTTTAATTTAACTACAAACCTTATACAGTTTTAGCAAATAACACTCTAAAGTTCCGTCTGTTCTTCACACAAAGCTATAATATGACTTAAGTTCGACTACTTTTTGTCATGTTTGGAGCACAGCAGCTCCAGTCTCCATCCACACACAACAGCGCCAGTCCCCATCCACTCTTACTGTATCGAAGAATGTGAACACTGTTTAAAATACTTCTAAGAGCGCGTGTTCGAATATTTGAATTTGTGTTCCATGGAACAAAGTCAGGATTAGAGCAACATGAAAATGAGTATAAATGATGGCAGAATTTTATTTCCTAATGGGAACTACTCCTTTAATCCCGGCGACCAGGTTTTTCTTCTCAGTAAAACCGGTTCAAATGCCAAATCTGGTAATGTTTTTATTAAACCTACTTAACGCGACGCGACGCGACATACCAGAACGCTGCCACATCAACTAAGCGGTGTACCGCGCAATTGCTCGATGACGCGACGCGACGCGACGCTACGCATCGCTTGCTGGTGTAATGTTTGGTGTTATGCATCCATCATAAACACAAACCTCTTTCTACGGGACTGAATAGATTTGAAAACATCAACATGAAGCAAAAGCAACCGTGGAGGCGAGATTCACTCACGATAACACGGGGATTGGCGTCCATACAATACAGTAGGGATAGCGGCTAATGCTCGGGTCTATCCTCTCAAACGCTATGTTATAATTCTTCATGGTCTCTATTTCGACAGCATCCGCCATCACCAGCTGTGAGAAATGAACTTCATTCGTTCCGCTTCCTGGATCTGCAGCGCGCTGGCGACGCGAGCGGCGCGTTTCCGGGGTCCCTTTGGCCACTGCAGACCACACACTTTATCAATGGTAAATATCAAGCGACACAATGACACTAATAACCATTGAGAGAGAACATGTTTGACACCAATATACAGATAAACGAGTATTAAAGTCATCTGGCATTTTAGCCTAATGTTTCATTTTTAGTTTGTCTGGGCATAGACAAGTGTTTATATATTTATTTAAATGCAAAGGCATTATAAATTAAAAGAATGATCCCAGGTAGGCTATCAAAATAAGATTTAAAATTCATACTTTTGCCACAGCTACAATTGAGAACATTGTTTAATTGCTTTCCTGTAAATAAATAATTAAAAATGAAAATGTAATTTGTTTTGTTTTTGTGAATAAAAAATATTCTATAAAAATTTTTTTTTATAATAACAGTGATTGCGCAGAAAAAAAAGGTACACTGATGAATGAATGAATTCACTTTAAAGGAATGGCTTATCCAAAAGTGAACATTTGCTGAATCCAAGATTCAGTGGATGAGTTTGTTTCTTCATGGGAACAGATTTGGAGAAATTCAGCATTTCATGACTTGCTCATCAGTGGTTCCTCTGCAGTGAATGGGTGCCGTCAGAACGAGAGTCCAAACAGCTGATAAAAACATCACAAGTAATCCACACATGAAAAGTCATCTCTTCTGAATCAAGAGAGAAATATGCACAAGATCAAGCACCATTTAGGCTACAAGCAGTAACTAATAAACAGTCCAAAACAGTTCTGAACTAATATGTCAATGGGTTTTGATGTGAGAGGACAGCAGGTGATGGACTTTTTCACTGAAGGAAGATTTATTATGGGGAAGGACTCATATTTTGACCAGAAGTGACAGTTTAAAGTTAAAATACCTTAATGATGGATTTATTTCTTACAAGTACATGCTGTTCAGTTCACAAAATGCTAATTGATGAGCTGGAGTGGACTGGATTACTTGTGGATTATTGTGATGTTTTTATCAGCTGACGGCACCCATTCACTGCAGAGCATCCATTGGTGAGCAAGCCATGTAATTGTAAATTTCTCCAAATCTGTTCTGAGAAAGAAACGAACTCATCTACATCTTGAATGGCCTGAAAATTTTTATTTTTTTGGATGAACTATTCCTTTAATGAAAATAAAATATATAAGAAGATAAAAATCTATTTTGTTCCCAAAAGATTTCTGTCAGAGGTTGAGATATAATGGGCTCGGAAATTCTATAACAGTCCTTAACACAATTTAACGGCTTGGAAAATCTTTGGTAACTTACTAGAAGCATGTGTTTCTTTGGATGTGTTTAACTGTGAATATTTAAACAATACAGTTCAATATTAGTTGCCCACTTGAACTGTAGTATAGCAGAATCTGATCCTTATGGATCAATTAACCTCAAGTTTTCCCTCAGTGCTGTATGGATTGCATTGTAAGAGGATCCATCTGTACTCGGGCTGGAGGAGGAGAGGCTCAAGGGAATGCTCTGCAGCCATATGTCCTCCTTACTGGCCCCCATTAGACCTGACAGGTGATATATGGTGCACACAGGAAAAACAAACTACTCAGCAAAAGCCGGCAGACATTGATAAACGAAGGCATGGTGACACAGATACTGTGGGCTCATCGTGGCCGAGCTTGGGGAGTTCTCTTGGGGAGTGCAAAATGCCACTTCAGTTTCTGCCCACAGTATCCAACCCAATTAGGGCAGAAGATTCACAATGTAGTGTCTATTTAAACACACATCAACATTCCAAAGTCCACATCCAAGATGTTTGATCTATTTTATCCCACTAGAATATTTCTTTTCACAGGTCATTTGTATGCATGAAATTAAAATGATCTCAAAATATCTCTCTCTCTCTCTGCTAGAAGCATCCACCTTTTTACCTTGATCTTGGAGTGGTTAAATATCACAAAGACATGTTCAGGTCACATTTCATACCTATAAATAAACAAATATTCACAATATGCTGTGTATACGGAAAATTAGGCCTAGTTTAAGGACCTAATATTATTTATAGAGTGACTTCATGCACATTTCATCCCAAATTCTAATATAATACATATGGAGTTATTCGTAATTTCCATTGTTCTCAATAAATTCTTATTACTGTAATACAAAATAAAAATGACAAAATACAATTATTAAAACAAACAAATAAATAAATAAATAGAATGAGTTCCCTTTAGAATGGGAATTCAACATGGCGTCTGACAAGGTCAATGACAGTCTGTAATGTCAGTACCAGTGCGGCCGTCAGTTTAAAAGAGTGCCTGTAGCACGCAATTAGCCTTTTTTTTCAGGAAACATGTATGCGTGTGTGACAAACGCTACTGGTGGAGCACGTTCAACTTCTTGAGGAAGCTGAATGTAATGTGCTCACTATGGTAATAAAAACTGGTAAGAAGCTTTTGTTCTTCCTTGATTCTCATCCGAGGGATAGTAGTCAGCATTTGCACTTGCACGTTTGGTTCTCATAGTGATGTATTCATGGCAGCAGATTCTGTTCTCGCCTTGTTTTTGGGAGAACCTAGCAATTAAATGGAGTGTATTCGGCTCTCGAGAGAGCTGAATGCATGCTGTATGATGTGATTGCCGTGAGAAGCTCCACCTATGCTTAACTTTCTCTTGAGGGTTGAGAGTTAAGAGCCTCCTTCCCAAGGTTCGAGTCCCACTGTCACCAGAGGAGAGATCAAAAACAGGGATTGTAGGTGGAGCAGAGGAGGAGTCGGACGGGAAGTGCTTTCCCTTTCAGAACTCTTCCTGTTAACTCAAATTCTTTCATATCGATTTCTTAAAGAAGGAAAGAAACTTAGTAATTTTGATTATCTAATTCTGAGGCATTAGATGCCGAAAGAGTTGAAGCATATATTATTGATAAATTAGTCCCCTCTATGAAAGTAAAAGAAACCGACTTGGGCAAGCTGCTGGATCCAGATGTTCTTTCTTTGACATGCTCTACTGGCATCAACCCAGGAGGAGGAGGATGTGGCTGAGGAGGGCAAAGAAACAATGGAGTCCTCCCAACCAGCCCATCCCGCTTATGAGCGGTTTCTGTCTGTACATAACCACCCTGTTACCATGAGTCTGAGGTGGAGAGATCATAAAATAAACGATATTTGGCCCACATTCATTTGTTTCCTCGAACACAAATTACATGAATGCACAAGGAATATTTGAGCACAGATATGAGTTAATGCCCCCGATTGAAGATATGTTTGCAAACTATCTCTCAATGGGGGAGGAATCATCATTAAAGACTCAGACCCTGTTATCCAAACCTTACCATGTAACATCCCGTTTGAATGGCAACTGGTCAGGCCAGTGGAGCCTTACACATGATGGCTGTGTTACAGGCATACCAGGCTGATCTGCTGAAACAACTGGTTTAGGGTCCGGGTCTGTTCCCTGCGACAGTGGCCGAGCTATGCCACACCAAAAATCTCGCTCTCTGAGCCACTAAACAGACAGACATAGATGGTAGCGATGGTGGCCATGGAGAGACATCTGTGGCTGAACCTGGCTGACATTGGGGAGAAAGAGAAAAGCTTTCCTCTCAATGCACCAGTTTCTCCGCTTGAGCTTTTCAACACATCCGTTGAGATGGTGGTCAGTAAGTTCAGGGAGGCAAAGATACAGTGTGTGGCCTTCAAAAGGTTTATACTGCGGAAATAAAGTTCTGCTCCTCAGGGCTCTGTGGGGCCTGGTTCATCTAGGTCTGAGGACCAAAGACAGGACCAGAAGGTGAGCATCGCATCCTGCGCTCTTCCTCCTTCTAGGAGTACGACACAGAAAAGTCGTGATGTGAGGAAGAGTAAGCAAGATATGAGAGAGGAGATTCAGAGGAAGAGATTTGAAAAGCAACATCGAGCAACACCTTCCCTCCCTCTTCCCCCAGAAATTGTTCACACACTTACATCAGGCCCTGGAGTTGGACCGATAATTTTAATGATGTAATTAATTTAGCTAAAAACATATTCTCTCTTCTGATAGGTCTGGCAGATGACTTGACTGTGAGCGTTAAGAGCACAACCAGTCTTGATGCTGTTTTTCTGTAGGAGTGAGGATGTTCACTGTTTTTCCACATTTCCCTTCTCATTTCTTCTTACTGGTGTCAAGTTATATTGCATTTTGTTCAGGTTAGCTGCCTCCCCTACAGCCTGGGGTCCCCTAAGTAGGCTACTCCCTAATAACAAGGTTGAAGCTGTCTTCCCCAGAGTTTGGGGTCCCTTAAGTAGAAAGCTCCATTATAGTAAAGAAGTTGAAGCTGCCTCCCCTGGATATTGGGGTCCCCTAAGTAGGAAGCTCCTTCATAGTGCTGTGGTTGAAGTTGCCTCCCTCACTGGGGTCCCGTAAGTAGGAAGCTCCCTGACAGCAATGAAGCTGAAGCTGCCACCCCCAGACATTTGGGGTCTCTAAAGCAGGAAGTTCTTGCTGTTAGGCATCTTTGAGAGTGCTGGAATTTTGAGTTTTAAAGGGATAGTTCACTCAAAAAATGAAAATTCTGTCATTAATTAATCACTCTTATGTAGTGTTGTCAAAAGTACTGACCACTATACCAGTCGGTACTGAAATTTTAAAAACATCAATTTCCTGCTAACATATGAGCGCTGTTGAGCGGTTTCTTAAATACTGCTGTTCACGCGCTCAACAGATATGACTGTTATTGGCTATGATGACCATCGCTTCACGCAAAATAAACACCCTGTGCAGACTAAAACTCCACCAGGGAGGTCCGTAGGGATCGATGACCTGCCTGTCCTAAGTCAAGATAAAGGAGGAAGGTTAGGCGTGGGACAAGCACCCCCACCCTGTAAAAAAAAACAAATCTGCTACAGAAACGTCAATTACAGATAAAACAGAAAGCTTTGCCCTAAGAGAGGAAGGATCTTCTTCACAAAGCCGTATGAGGCTGTGTGGTGAAAGCCGAAAGGAAGCCACAAAGCCGACTACCCTTCTCTCCTTCAGGAGAACAAACATTGGCACATGGAATGTCAGGACCATGTATGAGCCAGGAAAGACGGCGCAG